TTTGGTCCATGCTCTATTTGTACATGATTGCATTTGCCTCCTCCTTTCCTCTTCCCCTGCGTATCCCACACCACTGCCTCCCTCGGAGGAATTTGTTTGTTTTTTCTCCCTGTGTTCCATGACACTTGTGCATACTTATATTACCGCACTCTGCTGTGGTTACTTGGCAGTGTGTCTTTTTGTCCCCTAAGAACACACGGAGTGAGTTCTGTTCAACTGTCTGTCACCAGAATATGGCACATGGTGATCTATTAATACATTTCTGCTGAAACAATGCAGTAGTGAATGTCAGGAACAGTGCAGACAGTCCTGAGGGTTGTGTGGAAAGGAATCAAAGAACAGAGACAGGCTTAAAAAGTGGTATTTGCAGAGACAAGCTGGACACGAGCCTCCTTAGAGCAGGGGCTCAGTGTGGAGTAACAGGAAAGCCAGAGTGAGAAGTTGGGTTAGACCCAGAGCCCAGCAGACATGTTAGCAGGAGGGATCTGTTGCAAGGTTTCTGAGTGTTTGTTGGATCACCTCGGTGAGTTACCTGTGAGCTTGGGGCCTCAGAGGAAGTAACAACAGTAGAGAAAGGTTTGGGGATGCCTGCTTTAAATCTGACATAAGCTTCCTGAAAAATACTAACTTTCCTTTGATGGCTCTAGTTTTCAGGAAAGTGAAATCACGGACCACCAACAGGTTTAAATGCATCATCTCTGAGCTGATGAAGGAGACAGAGAGTCTGGCAAAGAGCATCTTTGGTGAACTCGGTACCATAAGTCTCGGTGAGATAAATTTCATTTCCTGTCCTCTCCATTTGGGAATAGCCACATATTGTTCACTAGTATTTGTTTGCAATTTCCTTAGTTCAGACAATGCCAAGACCTATCCAGAGGTTGACTTTCTTGATTATAGGTTATTCAAGAACCTTCCAAGTCCTCCTTTATTTTCTATTGCTTTTTGTCCCTTTGTAAATCCAAAGTGAATGCAGGACAACACACCTGAAATATATTACATGTAAATCAGTTCATTGCTCTTTTGACTTCCAAATTAGCTTTCTGTCCTGACTTCCTACTGTAGGAATGAAACCACCATTCCTCTATGGCTCAGATTCAAGCCTAGAGGTGACCTTTGATCCTTCTTCTTTTGAGGCTCTCTCATGAAGTCACCAAGTTCTGTTCTTCTCCTCATTATCCACTCATTCATTCACCAGAGATTATTGTGCCAAGTACTATGGTAGAGATGGAAACAGCAAGATCAAAGACATAGTCCCCACCCTCCAGGAGCTCACAGTGAAACAGTGAGAATCAGATGCGAGTAATTTCCATGGGACCGGGCAGCGTCACACGCTGGGTGCCATGGGAGCACATGGGAATAGGACTGGGCTGCGGGGAAGGCTTCCTGGGACAGATCTAGAAGTCAGCCAGGTTAAGAAGGAGAGACAGCTACGTGAGATCGAAAGGCATTAGGCATGGAAGGAAGAGAGAGTGCAGTGAGTTTTAAAAAGTACAAGCTTTTCATGATAATTTTATTTATAACATATTTTTTCATGAATGGTAATTTTAACATGTGAGTAAGGAGTGAGGCTAAAGGGAGAGGCAGGGGGTAGACAGCGAAGGGCCTGGTAGGCCAAGCTGCGTTTAAATTGTTCCCTAAAAGCATGGGAAGCAACTGAAGATTTTGATGTGATAAGGATACCAGTGAGGGAAGAGGACCAGAGGCTGTGGAGATGCGTGGTGAGGGAGGAGGCTTGTGCAAAGCACTGCAAACAGGAAGTGTTCAGACTTAATGGCTAACTGGATTTGGGTGGGAGGGAGAGAGGAAGGGAGTGGAAGATTTCCCCACAGGCTTCTCGCTTGGGCACCTGTGCATTTGCCTGTGAGTGGTACTGGTTCTAGAACTAGGAGCAGCTTTGGCAGGCACAGGGTGAGTTGAGAGTTTGGGAGACAATTGAATTTCTAATGTCTGCAAGGTATCTCATGGTGTCTCACCTTCTCTCACACTTGTTCTGCTTCTCTTTTCTTTTACAGCTTGATTTAGGGCTTTTTCTAATAGCCTTCTAGCTGGCTTGCCCACCTTCACTCTTTTCCATCCATTCCCTCTCCCATTGCCTGGCTAGTCTTCCTGAAGTACCAGTCTTACCGCATCAGTGTCCTGCTTGAATCCCTTTGCTTACAGGCAAAACCCTCCAGGTCTCTCCCTTGACAGTCTGAGTCCTGCCTGCACAACCTGGTTCTACTTCTTTCCACTTTTACCTTCCACTCCTTCCCCGACTAAATGTTTTGATTTAGCCTTGAACCTGCTCATTCACTTGTTTGTTCATTCAGTGTTGGCAAGGTGCTAGGTGATGGGAATACACTGTGGACCCTGAGACACAGCTCCTGCCTTCATGGCATTTCCAGTGTAACAGTAAAACCAGAATTAGGAAGTAATAAAAATAAAGCAACGGGATGGGGTGGGTGGGTGGTGGGATAAGGGTGTTTCAGGCGGGGGAACAGCATGGACTGAGGCTGGGAGAGTAGAGAGTGGGGACTCACATCAGTCCTGTAAATGCAGGGAGGGGAGTGTATAGAGATGAGGATCAGAAGCAGGGAGGGCTGGGTCACAGAGGACCTGTCTGAAGCAGTGGGATAGCAGTTCCTCACCTTCAGTTTGGAAACTCCCTCTAACTGCTGAGTGAGGAATGGGCTGGAGGGAATCCGGGGAGAAGTGGGGAGACCAGTTAGGAGGCCATGATATCACCCAGGAGTGTTATGACGTGGTCTGACCTGGGGAGGGGGCTTGAATTTCTACCTTCTTATTCCCTCCATCTCTAATATCCTACCTCCTCCTTTTTGCCAGTCCAAATCCTGTCAACTGTTCATTTCTGGATTGCTTAGCTCGTTTTTTTACTAGACTTTATTTTTTTAGAGCAGTTTTAGGTTCATAGCATAATTGAGCAGAATGTACAGAGATTTCCCATATACCTCCCTGACCACAGCCTTGCTTATTTTCATGCTTCCCCAAGTTCAATAAATAGTTGTTGATTCATGTAGTTTACTGCTGGCCACCTCATTTGTAGTTGGCCTGGGGAAGAAGCATGTCAAGGCCACTTGTCTCAGAAGCCTCTTTTGTTCCTTTTATTTAAAAAGAGGAACATTTTAGCCCAGAAATAGAGCTCTTCCTGTGAATTTTATTGCACTGTGCTCTTCCCCGGGAGCCCTGAGAACTGACTGTTCCTAGAGTCACTCGCAGACTGAGCTCCTGGAGGACAGGCCTGGGTGTCCCTCCTCCTTTACCGAGGCCCCAGCACCTGCACAGAGCCCGGACTGCTGAACCCCGACCACTCTGTGTACAGAATAAGAAAGAAAATTAGAGGGTAAGGCATGCTTAGAACCTGAAATGACTGACATATGACACAATGAAAACCTTTTTCTTTCCAGAAAACTTATCTCAGATTCAAAACAGGAATTTTGGAACACAGAAATATGAACAGTGGATCGTTGCAGTTCAGAAAAAGTGCGCGGTGCTGCACCTGCCAGACAAAGACAAGGAGAGCAGGATTTGTACAGCGCTGTTTTTGTACACTTCACATCTGCGGGTACGTTGCTTCTTTGGAAAGGCATATTTTATTTTTTATCTATTGATTAGAGAGAGAGAGAGAGAGAGAGACATTGAGTTGTTGTTCCACTTATTTATGCATTCTTTGGTCGATTCTTGTATGTGCCCTGACCTGGGATCAAACCCACAACCTTGGCATATTGGAATGATTCTCTAACCAACTGAGCTACCCGGCCAGGGCTAGTCAGGCATATTTTAGTTGTAGCACCTACTGGGAGCTGTGCTGTGGCAGTCGAGGAGGGAACATCAATTTTTCATCCTGCCCCCACAGCTCATATAGGAACTTTCCAGAAGATTCTTATGAAGCAGACTCCAAAAATTACCCCATTCAGCATCTTCTTTGTCTGCTTTCTGAACTTAACACTGGAGGCAATAGGGTGGACAAGGGGAGGCTCTAGGCCAGTAATGGTGAACCTATGACACGCGTGTCAGAGGTGACATGCGAACTCATTTTTTTGGTTGATTTTTCTTTGTTAAATGGCATTTAAATATATAAAATAACTATCAAAAATATAAATCTTTGTTTTACTATGGTTGCAAATATCAAAAAATTTCTATATGTGACACGGCACCAGAGTTAAGTTAGGGTTTTTCAAAATGCTGACACGCCGAGCTCAAAAGGTTCGCCATCCCTGCTCTAGGCTGTGCCTCCAGCATTCCCATGATTGACACAATTAGGAAAAGTTGGGTGAGGATGAACATTACTGTAGATATGTGACTGGTGACAGCCATCCTTAAAGTTCAGTACGAAAAAAAAAAAAGTTCAGTACGAGACTCCTGTTGCCCTATCCTGAAGCATGTATTCCTACCTCGGATAGAGCCACATGTGCACAGGAAGATTGGATATTTTAGGATACACTCAACCAGAATGCATTTATAGAATTTTAATGAACGTAATATTTGGTGTAGGTGGTCAAGCGCCATCATTCTGAGCAGGCGCAATCACCATTCAGTGATGACTTTAGATGTATAAAGGGATTGAGTTGAATGTCTGAATTTTGAGGCAGATTGATATGGAAGTTGATTTGCTTTTAGTCTTTGACATGCATTTTTCTTGTAATTTTCTCTTTCTCTTCCAAGGTAGACCTCTAGAGTCCAAAGTGATCCTAATTAATTATTGATTCTAGCTAACTGAGATTTTTTGAAAACAGTATTTGATTCCAAGATTTCACTAAGTACCATAAGGGACTGTTCATTTAAAAAAAAAAAAACTAAGTTGGAACATATTTGAGAAAAGTTTATTCTTAAAATTAATTCCATGCCAAGTTACAGCTCATTGAACTTAAGTACAGCAGATGTGTTGGACGTTAGAAATACATTGAAACTCCGTTTTCATTTTAAACAGAAATTTAATGATGCCCTCCTTATCAATGAGCATGCACGGACGAAAGATGCTCTGGATTACTTGAAAGACTTCTTCAGCAATGTCCGCTCAGCAGGATTTGATGAGATAGAGCAAGATCTCACTCGCAGATTTGAAGGTGGGTGGGTTTCCGGAGGAGGAAGCCACGCAGCCTGGTGACTGCAGTGATAGCATAATTGTGCGGCATTGTATTTAGCATTTGGTGATGCTCAGGCAGAATGTTGTCCTGGGCTTACGCAGATGGCCGGACCATGGAGCTTCAGTGAAGTCTGGTACTAAAGGAAAGAACCTGTGGCTTACCCTAGTTCCAATTTTGAAGAAGGAAAAATAGTAGGACTTGCAAAGGACATATTTCATGGAAATAGTTAATAGTAGCATATTTTGATTTTACTTTCAGTAATTTTATAAAGGTTTACAAACTACAAAAAAAAGTGTTTTAATGATATTAAAAATACTGTAATTTATATATACTTCTATGTAAAGAGGAAAACCAAAATGGCTCATAATCCCATCTCCCTCATATTAAGAAAAATATAGGAAGATATTAAATGAAAAGTAAGGCTTCCTTCTCCTTCTCCCCTGTTTTTCCCCCAAAGGTAATTGCTATTAATAATTTTGGGGGAAATGGGGGGGGAAAAGGAGACATATGTACTACTATTTGTAATACTTTAAACAGTAAAATAAAATTTAAAAAAATAATTTTGGGGGGCCTATACTGAAGTATTTACTTACACATATGTGTAACCCAGTGATGTGCTGCTAAACATTGAACAACCAGCTCTTCGGGGGGGAAACAAAATATATGCATTTATTGGTGTATTTACTAGTAATGTATGCATTCAATTGATGGTTTTCACTTATACAGTTCTGGTCAGATTAAGAGATTAACGGAACTATAGCTGAAAGTCCCAGTGTGTTCTAAATTTCTAGAATTTATAAGTTGTTTACAAAATGTTCTCCTTTTGCAGAAAAGTTGCAAGAACTAGAGAGCATTTCTATGGATCCCAGCAACGAGAACCCTAAACTGAAGGACCTCTGCTTCATCTTGCAAGAGGAGTACCACTTAAACCCAGAGACCAGAACCATTCTCTTTGTGAAAACCAGAGCACTTGTGGATGTAAGCTTCTTCCTCCTTGTGGATAACAAATTGAGCAGTACCATTTTATTGAAAAGATTGTCTTTTCTTTACTTCACTGTTGTAATTACTCTAGTTTATAATGATGTCTTGATACCTATATATGTTTTTTATTCTTTTCATTGATTTAAAAAAATTTTAACCATTCTATGGGTATGTAGTGATATCTCACTAGGGTTTTAATTTGCATTTAACTAATAAATAATACTATTTAACATTTTCATATACTTATTAGCTATCCACACATCTTTTTTGGTGAAGTGTCTGTTCACATTTTTTGCCCATTTTGAAATGGGTGTAGCTGGATTGTTTATCATGTTATTTTTTTTTAATATATTTTTATTGATTTCAGAAAGGAAGGAAGAGGGAGAGAGAGATAGAAACATCCATAATGAGAGAGAATCATGGATCGGCTGCCTCCTGCAAGTCCCCCACTGGGGATCGAGCCCACAACCTGGGCATGTGCCCTTGACCAGAATCGAACCTGGGACCTTTCAGTTCGCAGGCCAACGCTCTATCCACTGAGCCAAAGCGGCTAAGGCTTATCATGTTATTTTTGAGTGATCTTGTATTCTGACAAAAAGTCCTCTGTTGGCAACGTGATTTAAAATTTTTTCTTCTGGTCTTCTCATTCTCTTAACAGTATCTTTTACAGATGGAAAGTTTTAACTTTTGATGAGGTCCAGTTAATCAATGTTTTCTTTTTGTGGATTGAGCTTTTGGTATTGTATCTAAGAGCACTTTGCTCACCCACATCCACAAAGGTTTTCTCTGTGTTATCTTCTAGAAGCTTTTACATTTTATGGTTAGCTCTCCAATCCACTTTGAGGTATGGGTTGAGATGCTTTTTTTTCTTTTTGTATGTGAACATCCAGTTGTTCCAGCACTGTATATTGAGAAGACTATTCTTTCTCCATTGAATTGTCTTCATAACTTTAAAAAAAATCAGTTGACTATATTTATGTGGATCTATTTCTGGATTCTCTATTCTGCTCCATTTATCTATATGTCTGTCCTTTCACCCATCCCACACTGTCTTTTTTTTTAATACTAGATTTATTTATAGGTAATCTTTATTCCTTAGAGTTTATCCATATAAATTATATAATACTACTTTGTTTAGTATATTTACAGAGTAATGCAACTATCACCAAAATCTAATTTTAGAATATTTCAATCTCCCCACAAAGAAAGTCCCCACTCATTTGCAATCACTCCTCATCAAAATTCTACTGAGTCCTAAGTAATCGCTTATCACTTTCTGTCTCTATAGATTTGCCTATTCTGGACATTTCATGTAGATAAAACTGGAAAATAGTGGACCTTTGTGACTGTTTTCATTTTACTTAATTCTTTTGCATAATGTTTTTGAGATCTGTCTGTGTTGAAACAGAAGTAAATTGTCCATTTTTTATTGTTATATATCCCACACTGTCTTGATTGCTATAGCTTTATAGTAAGTCTTGAAATCAGTTAGTATGAGTTCTCTAACTTTTTCTTTTCTTTGAAATTGTTTTAGCTGTCTTTCTTTGTCTTTCCATTTATATTTTAGAATCACCTTGTCCACATCTATGAAAAAGTCTACTTGGGATCTCTTTTGGGATTGCATTGAATCTACAAACAATATTGGGGAGAAATGACATCTTAATAATATCGAGTCTTCCAATCCATGACCATAGTATATTTCTTCATTTATATAGGGATTCTATATTAGTTACCTATTGCTGACAACAAATTGTCCCCCCCCCCCCAAAAAAAAACTTAGTGACTAGGAACAACAAACATCTATTATCTTAAAATATCTATGGGTCAGGAAGCGGAAACAACTTAACTGGGTGGTTCTGGCTCAGCGTCTCATGAGGCTGCAGTGAGGTGTTGGCCATGGCTGCAGTCATCTCAAGGCTTGAATTGGGAGGATCAACTTCCACCTCACTGAGATGTCTATTGGCAGCATCGGGAGATGTGCTGCTTTTTAAAAAATACATTTTTATTGGTTTATCTCCATTCAGATAGGAATGGAGAGTGAGAGAGATAGAAACATCAATAATGAGGAAGACTTATTGATCAGCTGCCTCCTATAGTCCCACACTGGGGACTGAGCCTGCAACCCAGGCATATGCCCTGACCGGGAATCGAACCGTGACCTCCCGGTTCATAGGTTGACACTCAACCACTAAGCCACGGCCAGCCAGGCAGAAGATGTGCTTCTAAGCTCACTCACTTGGGCCTCTCCACAGGCTGCATGGTAGCTGGCTTTCCCTGAGTGAGTGATCCAAGGGAGATTGAGGAAGAATGCCTAATATGGAGTCACAGTCATTTTATAACTTCAACTGGGAAGTGATACCTCATCATATCTGTCCTATTTTATTAATTAGAAGCAAGTTAATAAGTTCAATTCACACTTGACGGGAAGGGACACAAGGATCTGAATATCAGGGGAAACAGATCGTTGAGGGCTACCTCCGATGCCACCTACCACATCTTTTTTGGTTCCTTTTATCAGTGTTTTGTTGTTTTCAGCATACAGATTCTGCACGTATTTTGTTAGACTTATACCTTAGTATTACTTTTTAATGCTGTTGTAAATGGTTCTTTTGTCTGTTGCTGGTATATAGAAATACAACTGATTTCTGTCTACTGATCTTGTGTCCTAGATCTTGCTAAACTCACTTTTTAGTTTTACATGCCCACTTTCAATCTAAACTTTGCTTTTATCACTAAAAATATCTTCGATGACAAAGATTTGTACGTTTATGGTTAATAATTGCATAGAATTCAATTCCAAGAAGCAGTTTTCTTAGATTTATCAATCTGAAAACTGTCTGTATACTAACTTAACATGTTTTTTTCCTTCTTGCATATACTTCAGTATTGAATTAATACAGATGGCATACAAATTGGGCCTAACTGAAAATTGCTTTTCGTTTTCAGGCTTTAAAGAAATGGATTGAGGAAAATTCTATACTCAGCTTTCTAAAACCTGACATACTGACTGGACGTGGCAAAACAAGTCAGAACATAGGTATTTATATATGGTATACTATATATAAGAATATATGTAATCTATTGAATCTTTTTTATGTTTGTATCAGGGTTCAACTAAAGAAACAAAACCAGTAGGAGATTTTATTTATATATAGATATATATATAAAAATACACACACACACACACACACACACACAGATACGTGCATATGCATACACACAGGGATTTATTACAAGGTACTGGCATACACAATTGTACTGGCAAAACATGTCTGAGGTCTGCAGGGTAGGTGGTCAGGAGCAGGCTGGAACCCCATAGCCATGAGCTGTTTGAAGTCCTGAGCTCAGGAAATACCTAAACCAGTGATGGCGAACCTTTTGAGCTCGGCGTGTCAGCATTTTGAAAAACCCTAACTTAACTCTGGTGCCCTGTCACATGTAGAAATTTAAATTTTTTTGATATTTGCAACCATAGTAAAACAAAGATTTATATTTTTGATATTTATTTTATATATTTAAATGCCATTTAACAAAGAAAAAGAAACCAAAAGAATGAGTTCGTGTGTCACCTCTGACACGCGTGTCATAGGTTCGCCATCACTGACCTAAGCCCTTTTCTAATACTAATACCTAATCAGTATTATTGATTAGGTTAGGCCCACCTAGGGTGAAGCCCCTGTTGATTCCCTTAATGTCAACTGATTAAGAACTTTAATTACAACTGCAAATCCCACTAGGGACTGTAGTTCAGCCTAGGCAAGTTGACATCAAAAGGCTATCACATGCTCACATGCCAGAAAGTTGCAGACATTGCCTCCTCCCATTCTTTTTTTTACATATTGTTTGAGCATGTCACTCTTCTGCTCAACCAGTAGATTAACTGGAAGTAGAAATGCTCTGTTTCTGCTTTATTGTTCTTTAAACTATAGATGCTTTTGTGTGTATTATATACTTTGAGTTTAAAAAAATAGTCCAAGTAGACAAGCCTGAACTCTAGTGAGGGTGGTCAGAGGAGGTAAGGCTGCCTCTGTGGTTATCCAGGAGGGGCCAGGTGGCCAGCCCTCACCTGGCATTCTCACAGCCGTGCTCCCCACGCCTCAGTGACCAGCAATGCCAGCTCCTCTCTGTTCCCCCTCTTTAGTGTTATGATAAGCAGTTCCCACCCTGTCAGTCCTCAATCATCACCCTTGTACTTCCCCCTTATACAAATTTTAAATTCCGTGACTCTAAAGGGCAAATTCAGATTTTGAAAATTTGGCATACCAAATGAAGTCCAACACCACAGATTCTTTTTTTTAAATTCTTTATTGTTTAAAGTATTACATATGTCTTCTCCCCCCCACATTGACCTCTCCCCAGCCACTCCCAACCCCCCAGCACACGCCCTCACCCCCCTACTGTCTCTATCCATTGGTTATGCTCATATTCATGCGTACAAGTCCTTTGGTTGATCTCTCACCCCGCCCCACTCCCCTGCTTTCCCTTTTAGGTTGGATAATCTGTTAGATGGTTCTATGACTCTGGCTCTATTTTTGTTCATCGGTTTATGTTCATTATATTCCACAAATGAGTGTGATCATGTGATATTTATCTTTCTCCAGCTGAACACCACAGATTCTTGTGGTCAAAGTTCTTTACCATCTGACTCCAACATGAGTCCTATATGATTTTCCACCTTTGTTATTTCCCCACAAATAAACACTCAGAAAATATTTTCTTATTTGTTTCCTCAGTTATTCATCCATCCAGCCACATTTACTTAGAACTTAGCCGGTCATTGTGCTTCTGCCAGACAGCCTTCCACATTCCCACAGCATCCATTCTGCCTCCACTTCATTGCTCGTCACATGGAACTATAGCTTCCTATTATACCCCTCTTCCTCAAACTATGAGCTCCTTGTAGGTAAAAGTGGACCTTTAACCATTGTATTCTTATCTGACAAACCATAATGCCGAATAAATGTTTGATGAACAAATGGAACAAATGAATGAAATTAATGAAGTATGATGTCTGTCTTGAAGTTGTTTTGTCCTTCACAAAGTATATCTCAAGATTTTGACAGCCGATATACTAGGAAAGAAATGGAACTTTTATAAATTCTATTAACTCTAAAGTGGGGGTCACTGAAGTTCTTTCTCCTCTCATTATATCAGTGGCTGAGAACTGCTCACTCTTAGGATCCTAGACTTAAAAATTCAAGGCCAGGTTCTGCTGCAAGCTAGCCTGTCAGTTATCATAGTTCCAAAAGCCTCAAGGTCCTCATCTGTGAAGGGGAATGGTGACACTTGCCACGCCAACCTAAGAGAGCTTTGTGAGGTTCCCGTGAGTAAGTAGATGAAAATGTTTTGTCAGCTGTAAACTCCTATACACTTGCAAAGGTATTACAATTAGTTAATATATTTTTTTAATCAATATTTGTTTTGAGACAATACAACTAAAGCCACACAGCTGTTAAATGCCACCGCTGGAATTTGAACTCAGGCAGTGTTGTGGCAGAGTCCAAGTTGCACCACCCTACATGTGCTCTCTCTAGCGATGATAGGATAGGCCCTACAGCCTGGGGTTGTTGAGAGATCATGAATACAAAGCACTTATCACAGTCCCTGGCATGCAGTAAGCATTCCATAGTTAATAGCTGCTTTTCTTCAAGGGTAAAATTCCCTCTTTGGTGAGTTGTAATGCCCTCTGACTCTGGCACAGGAATGACCCTCCCAGCACAGAAGTGTGTACTGGATGCATTCCGAGCCAGTGGCGATAAGAAGATTCTGATCGCCACCTCAGTTGCTGATGAAGGCATCGACATTGCGCAGTGCAATCTGGTCATCCTGTACGAGTACGTGGGCAATGTCATCAAAATGATCCAAACCAGAGGTGAGAGAAGCTTTGGTGCTGTTTTAAGTGTCAGCCAATTTGTCTGACTTGTGAATGTACCTGTCGTTCCGGCTTTTCTCCTTTACTGAGTCCTGCTTGTGTGTGTGGCCAGTGGCACAATGGACTCTGGTATCATTGCCCGAAAGGTGACTTATTGGGCCAGGATTGGGTGGCTACGGTTTTGTCCACTATTTTAATTCTTGTTCACAATGAAAACTGTGTACTTGGCCAACACTGATTGACATGTTTTTAGGATAATTCCCGTTGGTTTGGGGCTTTGGCAGTCGGCATGCACACCTTTCCTGGCTGTGCGTGTGGTGCCGCTGGGCCTGCTGGGCCCGCTGGGTCCAAGGAGCTCTCTGTCCCACTTGCACCAGAGTCTCCTAACTAGTCTCTCTTCCTTTTTCAATTTCTGTAACAGCAGCTGCCACATTACCTTTCCTGGAAAAAGCTCTGAACGTGTCACTTCCCTGTATAGAAACTGCAGTGGTTCCCCAATTTTCTTGATGTTACAGAGTTGTGTTTTTTTAAATATATATATTTTTTATTTCAGAGAAGGGAGAGAGAGATAGAAACATCAATGATGAGAGAGAATCAATGATCGGCTTCCTCCTGCACACCCCCACTGGGGATGGAGCCCCCTGACTTGAAATCAAACTGTGACCACCTGGTTCATAGGTCGACGCTCAACCACTTAGCCACACCAGCCAAGCTTGATGTTACAGAATTTTCAAATCGAGCACCCATTTATCTTTCCAATTCCTCCCCTTTATTCATGATTCACTTCCGCCAACCTGACTCCATCTTTTCTCCTTGTTGAAGGAATTGCTTATGTACTGCTACTGATGATCGTTTTACCTCTTCCCCCGCCTCCCTATCACCTGTCCCAAGTTCCCCCAGCTGTCAGTCATCTCTCTTTTGAACATCCGTAACTCTTTATGTCTTTCAGCACTTCTCATTTTCCACCTATATTCTTGTGGTTGTGAACATAGCTTATTTCCCCATTTCCTAGAAGGCTCCTGAGGGAGGATCTGTTATTATTCACCTGAGAGCCCTCACAGTGTCATCATGAGGGTTCATGTTGGACTCTCTGTCAAGCAGTGTTTCTGATAGTGTGGCTGTCTGATCACACTGCAGCATGGACACTGTGAGGAAGCCAGTGTGCGGCGGGCTCCCAGTTCATCTGTGGGCCTAGCGGGCTGGTACACACCCACCTCTCGGTCTGTGCTCTGACGGCTCAGCTTCCCTGGAAAGCGGGATTCAGTGAACCAGAGTTGCACTTTAGGAATACCCCTTCCCCTTTCCCCCTAGCTTACCTATGCTCAGATTCATCAGAGCTTTAAATCAAAGGCACCGAATGAAATATTTATTTTTGACAGGCAGAGGAAGAGCAAAAGGTAGCAAATGCTTTCTTCTGACTAGTAATGATGATGTAATTGAAAAAGAAAAAATAAACATATACAAAGAAAAAATGATGAATGACTCCATTCTAAGCCTCCAGGCATGGGATGAAACAGTATTTAAAAAAAAGGTAAGTCTTTTCATCTGTGCTACTCTTTCAGAATCTGGCCGTAAGTAACAGATAGAGAAGGTGGGGAAGGTTGGTACCTTTTATCAGATGGCTGAGTGTTGCATTAGAACAATAAGTTTAATCTTAAAAATTTGTTCTGCAGTGAACATCTAGTTTATTTTGCTTTTTTTTAAAATGTATTTTATTGATTTTTTACAGAGAGGAAGGGAGAGAGATAGAGAGCCAGAAACATCGATCAGCTGCCTCCTGCACATCTCCTACTGGGGATGTGCCGGCAACCCAGGTACATGCCCTTGACCGGAATTGAACCTGGGACCTTTCAGTCCGCAGGCCGACGCTCTATCCACTGAGCCAAACCGGTTTCAGCATTGCTTTTAAGTCTCAATGAGATTAAAATATGTTTTATTAATTCTGATGCCCGAAGTTGTGCTTTTAGGTCTAAAAGGCAAACTGAGCTAGAATCACTCTTCCGTTGAGTTTATCTTGAGGACAATAACCTAACACTGCAAGACATAGTCTTTCTTGGTCTTTTCCTCAGATCTCTTTCCAACATCTGGAGTCCCCAGAGAAAAGCTCCCATTGCCCTGTGCAGGTGTTGGGTGCCTAATTGTAGAGGTGGATAATAATGTATACTTTGGAGTGGATCACCTGTTCAGTTCAGCCTCTTGGTAGTAACCTTCATTTTATTGTAATTTCCTTTATAACTCAGAAGCATGGAACCAGATGAGGGAAAATAGACACACATGTACATGCACACTCAGACTTTCTCCAGACTCTGCAGAGATTTTCATCTCAGAACCTCTGGAAGCATCGAGCACTGCAGGGCTGGGGGAGAGCTTTCACATTAGAATCAGTGGTTCTGGTTCCAGTTCTGCCACTTACAAGATGTATAACCTCAGGTCATTACTCTGTTTTTAAAATCATCAGTTTCCTCATTTGTAAAGTTGGGGAAATTTGTAAAGTATTAAACTCACAGTAGTTTTGGGGCTAAAATGAAATGTATGCATTGCTTAGCACAGTGCCTAGTATAAAATAAGTGCTAAAAAATAAGTCATTGGACACAAGTGTAAGGCATACTGTAACTTCAGAAAGATGAACCTTCCATTTCAGTAAACCAACTGCACAGTGGCCACAATTTTTAAAAAATCATAATCTCTATGCTCAAAAAGTACTGAGAATCAGTGATGTAAAGCAAATTAACACTTATTTTAGGACAAAAATACAATTTTATGTTAGTGTTTACTCATTTTTAATAAACATTTCTTCCTAAAGTTTGGAAACCAAGATATTTTAAAAACCCCTCTTCCATATTTTCAGGAAGAATTGCTGGGGAATTCCTTAGTTTCTCTTAATTTTTTCCCATAATTTTACTGAGGGATAGGGGTTTTTAACTGAGCCACCTATGTAGGACATAAGGATGTTGCCAATAAAGGCCTTAAAACCATATTAGCTTTAATATGAAATAATTTTATCCCCTCCACAGGTGACAAGCTACTTATTAGATTCATATGTGGCAGAAACAGTAGAGTAAAAGTCTAATAAGGTAGATGAAGGCTAGACCAGGCGTGAACATTCTTTTGTAGCCAGAACATCAGGTCAAGCAGTGGAGTAAGGAGAAAATGGGCAACATATCTGTCGAATTGGGCCTTTGCATAGCATTTAGGATCCGCCTAACACCCATAGAATGCAAATGGGCAGAGATGGTAAAGAATGAGAGGGAGCCCTGACCGGTTTGGCTCAGTGGATAGAGCGTCGGCCTGCGGACTGAAGGGTCCCAGGTTCGATTCCGGTCAAGGGCATGTACCTTGGTTGCGGGCACATCCCCAGTAGGGGGTGTGCAGGAGGCAGCTGGTCGATGTTTCTAACTATTCCTCTCCGTAAAAAATCAATAAAATATTAAAAAAAAAAAAAGAATGAGAGGGAGCCCTGACCGGTTTGGCTCAGTGGATAGAGCGTCGGCCTGCGGACTGAAGGGTCCCAGGTTCGATTCCGGTCAAGGGCATGTACCTTGGTTGCGGGCACATCCCCAGTAGGGGGTGTGCAGGAGGCAGCTGGTCGATGTTTCTAACTATTCCTCTCCGTAAAAAATCAATAAAATATTAAAAAAAAAAAAAGAATGAGAGGGAATTCGGAACAAATGTAGCTGATAGTCATTATGTGGCAGCTAGGAGCATGGAGTCTTGGAATCACCCCTATCCTATCGTAGAGGAAGGCTTTGCTTTCAGAGGCTTAGTGGAAGTATAACAAGGTAGGAACAACCTTATATTCTTAAAACTAAAAGGAATTATGTTTCTTGAGGTGAGGCCCCTTTCTGTGTTGTTTTTTATTTTATTTTATTGTTGACAGTATTACAGATTTTGTGTTGTTTTGATAAGGGCTTGGGATCTGAGCACCCTGGTCCCTGCATATTGGCGTTAGTGGGAGGAAGAAACCCTGCAGAAGAGAGGGAAAAAACTCTTTAGGGCGGCACCAAGTAGATGGAGACTGTAAGCTTTGTCCCACAGTTACCTTGTCCATTGTCTGCATGCGGCCGACCTTCCTTAGAGCACTGTGGTCCCCAGGGAATCTCTGGTGACTCTGCAGCCATTTTAACATGTAGATGGTCCAGAGGTATCCAAGGACTGATTTCCTTGAGGGAAGCTTCAGGATTTGGGAGTGTTTAATTCTGGAGCAATAAGGTATAAAGGGCATTTTTCACAGTTGCTAGTTTGAAATTAAAATGAGGAAGCCCACTTTTCTTCCTCATGGAGTAGAGAACAAAATGCCAAAAAGAACTTCCAACATGATGTGTACCCAGGACAGCACACAATCAGGGTTTTATGGTTTTGCTTTTTTCCACCTTAGTGCGTGGAATTAAGCTTCTTCTACAACGGGTGGAAGGGAGAGGCAGTGAGCTATAAACTTAACTTGTGGTATTGGTTGAGCCTCTTTACCTGTTGAGTTTAAGTATAGCAGTAATAGTTTTAACTTACTGGGATTTACTGCCCATAGTAACATTTAAAATATTTGGGATTATTAGTATTTAACTGAATTTTAGTATATAACTGACTATAATTAGATATAAGTGCATTTTTAAAAATTGGATGCTTGATTTTATAGCTGACATTGTGGAAATCACCATGTTCTTTCTTTATGATGTTCTAAGACTCCTTCTTTTATCATTTCCTTCAGTTTAGAGAACTTCCTTTTGCCATTTTTTTTTTTTTAGGGAAATTCCACTGCTAAACAAATTTTCTTAGTTTCTGTTCATCTCAGATCATCTTGCTTTCCCCTTTATTTTTATTTAATTTTTAATTCTTATTTATTTCAGGAGAAGGAGAGAGAGATAGAACCATCAGTGATGAGAGAGAATCACTGATCGGCTGCCTCCTGCCTGCTCCCTCCCCTCTACCACCACTGGAGATTGAACCCACAACCTGAGCATGTGCCCTTGACCAGAATCGAACCTGGGACCCTTCAGTCAGCAGGTTGATGCTCTATCCACTGAGCCAAACTGGCTAGAGCTCCCCTTTATTTTTGAAGAACATATTGGCCTTTATGGTCTCTGATGAGGAATCTGCTGTCATTCAGATTGTTTTTCTTCTATAAGTAAGGTGTCACTTTTTTCAGGCTACTTTTAAGATTTTTTTTCTATGTCTTTAGTCTTCAGAACTTGAATTATAATGTGCTTTGGTGTGGATTTCTTTGGATTGATCATGTTTGGTTTTTGTTCACCTTTTTGAATCTGTAAGTTTATATTATGTTATGTTCAATTTGTGGAGTATTCAGCCATTATTTCTTCCAGTACTTTTTAGTTCTGCTCTCTTTCTCCTCTCCTTCCAGGACTCTCCTAAAGGTCCCTGGGGCTCTGTTCTTTATTTTTTTTTTTTTGTGCTCTATGTTATTTCTGTTGTTCCAATTGAGTAATTTCTATCATTTTATGTTCCAGTTCGTTGATTCTTTCCTTTGTCTCCTCTATTTTGCTGTTGAGCCCATTCACTGAGCTTTTTATTTTGGTTATTACATCTTTCAATTCTAATACATCCGTTTGGATTTTTATGACTTCCATTTCTTCATTGAGCCTTTATAGTTGCTCATGTTTCAAGAGTGTTTCTGAGTACTCATTGAAGCATTTTTATCGTGGCTGCTTTAAAATCTTTCTCTGATAACTTCTGTCTTCTCAGTGGTGGTATCCATTGATTAACTTTTTTTTCATTCAGTTTGAGATTTTTCTGTTTTTTGATATGAAGAGTGATTTTTTTATTGAAACCCAGGCCTTTTCATATTATATTAAGAGATTTGGGATCTTTTTTAATCTTCTGTGTTAGCTGGCTTTTTCTGGCACCTTTCTGGCAGAGTAGACAGGCACATTATCTCATCACTGCTAGGTGGAAATAGAAGTCCAGGTTCCTATAAGTTTTCTCTCTTGGGCCTCGACCAGCATGTCTAGAGAGCGGACGAGTCCTGAGTAGGGACAGCTGGGGATTGAGAAAAGGAAAAAAAGAAACAGACACAAAGACTTTAAAGCTGGAGCCAGGTGGGACGCTGCCCTCAGATGGAGAGACAGTGACCCAGAGCTAGTGCAACACGTTTATTATATACAACATGATACCAGGAAGTTTTACTAGAGTTTAAGACAAAGGAAATTATGTGAAGTCATGGTTAAAGATCAAGCTGCAATTCTTCATTCTTTTGGCTTCTTTGTAATTGTCATTCCTGGCTGAGCCCTGCATCCGTTCCTGGCCCTGGCTAAACTTAGATAATGAAACCCACCCCCTGGCACCTGAGCTAAAGGTCAGGCTGACAACATACCTGCCTCTGGCAAGGTATATTTCCAGGAAATGGCTCTACTGACACCACTGGACTCAGCCAACAATCAGCTCATGCGCCTTCCCAGGCGCTCTCTACAGTTCCCTACTCAGCTTCTGTTTGTACCAATGAGGGGGAGGCTTCTTGTTACTGCTGTGTGGAGGTGGGAGTTCTTGCTCCCCACATGGTCTCCAGTGACACCATAGGCAAGGGGAGGGGTGGCTACCATTTAGCAGGGATGAAAGTCCTAGCTCCCTACTTGGCCTTCTCTGACACCACCAGGTGCGTGGGCTGGGGCATTTCATTACAGCCCCACAAAGTGGAAATCTAGGTTCCCCACTCAGCCTTTGCTGCCATGGGTGGAAATTGGGTCACAGTTTTTTTTTTATTTGTTTTGTTTTATTCTTTGGTATTTGGCTGGAGTAGAATATTTCTTGGCTAAAAGTTTTTTGTCTTTCTAGGCTGCCCCTTTCCTGGCCTTTTGGCTTGAGAGAATAAGCTTTTGTTGAGACTTTTAGAAAACATATATTTTATTGATTTCAGAGAGAAGGGAGAAGGAGAGAGAGACTCTTGATCGGCTGCCTCCTGCACACCTCCACTGGGGATTGAGCCCACAACCCGGGCATGTGCCCTGACCGGGAATCGAACCGTGACTTCCTGGTTCATAGGTTGATGTTCAACCACTGAGCCACGCTGGTCTGGCTGTTGAAACTTTTTTTACCTGTGCCCATAGGTATTTCTGGTTGCCAGTTTCTTCAGCTCCAGTCTAGGATATATGAGGTGAAAAACAACAACAACAAACAAACAGGGAACTTACTATCATAGGGTCCCAAGGTTCCTAGCTAGTCTGCCTTCCTCTCTTCACCCTTTAGATTTTAAATCTAAATCTCCTTATGTTTATTTTATTTATTTATTTTTAAAATATTTTTATTGACTTCAGAAAGGAAGGGAGAGGGAGAGATAGAAACATCAGTGATGAGAGAGAATCACTGATAGGCTGCCTTCTGCATGCCCCACATTGGGGATCGAGCCTGCAACTTGGGAATGTGCCCTGACCAGGAATTGAACCATGACCTCCTGGTTCTAGGTTGAAGCTTAACCACTGAGCCATGCCAGCTGAACTCCTTATGTTTATTTTAAATAAACATGGCCCTAGCCGGTTTGGCTCAGTGGATAGAGCGTTAGCCTGCGGACTGAAGGATCCCAGGTTCAATTCCAACCATGGGCACATGCCCAGGTTGCAGGCTTGATCCCCAGTAAGGGGCATGCAGGAGGCAGCTGATCAATGATTATCTCTCATCATTGATGTTTCTATCTCTCTCTCCCTCTCCCTTCCTCTCTGAAACCAATAAAAATATATTTTAAAAAATAGCCAGAACCGGTTTGGCTCAGTGGATAGAGCGTCGGCCTGCGGACTCAAGGGTCCTGGGTTCGATTCCGGTCAAGGGCATGTACCTTGGTTGCGGGCACATCCCCAGTGGGGGGCGTGCAGGAGGCAGCTGATCAATGTTTCTCTCTCATTGATGTTTCTGGCTCTCTATCCCTCTCCCTTCCTCTCTGTAAAAAATCAATAAAATATATTTTTAAAAAAATAATAAACATAAGTTGTACTTAGCCAAGGCCTAAATTTTGAAATATAATGCAGTCATACCATACATACATTTAACTTTACTGTAATTTGACAGTGCTCTCTGTGGTTGGAAGAGGAAAGAGGAGAAAACCAATTTGGATGGTGAGGGCTCTTCTGCCTGCTGTTTCATTCAGTTGGGTTTATGCCTTGGAAGTGGGTGTAAATATGTCTGAAACAGTCCATGTGTATCATATATCTATTTGTGAAGGACATTTTAAGTTTTGCCGGCTACTAAAGTAGAAAGCATGGTTCATATGACTATTTTATGGACATCTTTAGTGCTCTATGGGCAACTTTGATGAGGAAATTAAAAGACTAATTGGAGGCCACAGTTAAACATTGACTAACAAAGAGTTAGGAGAACCAATAAAATTACCTATGGGATTTTTACAAAGTCACCAGGTACGACATGTTCATGGAAGTGTATGCAAAATGAATGATATATATATACTTTAATTACATTTATGAGGTATTTCTTTTTTCTCATGTAGATTCACCAGATCCAGATTCATGAAAAATTCATCAGGGATAGTCAAGGAAAAGCAGAACCTGCACTTGATAAGAAAAATAAAAAACTGCTCTGCAGAAAGTGCAAAGCCTTTGCTTGTCATACAGCAGATATAAGAGTGATAGAGGTGAGCAGCCTTTTCCAAAGAATACTGGGTCATTTTTTAGCACTAATTAAAGCTTACTCACTACTGGTGAGATATTTATAAGAATGCCATACTTTCTTTATAACTAATGTCATGGTCCATGTATTTTACAAAAGCTAAAAAGTTAAAAGCACACACACACAACACCTTAATTTTAACAATAAAGAAATCATTTTAAAAATTGCTGCACAGCCACTTAATTAAATATTATGTAGCCATTAGAAATATGGATATGCTAAATTCAGTGTGGTTCCCTAGATTAAATCTTAGAACAGATAAAAGGTTTTACTAGGAAAAAGGTAAAATCTATAGTTAATAGTAATTTGCTGATATTAACTTCTTAATTTGGACAAATGTACTATGTTATGTAAGATGTTAGTTAGCATTCAGGAAAGGTGAATTCAGGAATTCTCTGGACTACATTTGTAACTTATCTGTTAATCTAAAATTATTCCAAAGTCAGGTTTATTAAACAAAATGATTATGAAATTTATCTACACTAATAAAAGAGAAACATGGTAATTAGTGTACGACTGCTACCCTTCCCATTGGCTAATCAGGGTGATATGCAAATTAACTGCCAACCAAGATGGCGGCTGGCAGCCAGGCAGCTTAAAGCGAACATGAGGCTTGCTTGCTGCAGTGAAGGAGGACTCCAACGTTCCCCGCCTGCGCTGCCGGCCTCTGAGCTGGCAGTTTGAAACTTTGTAACAAATATAGAAGCTAAACAAAACCCCAGAAACCAGCTTTCAGCCGGCCGGGATCTCAGAGCTGGAGTTATACATTGTTTCGATTATAGAAC